TGTTAGTGCCAATTTGTTTTCCAGAGGAGCACATCTCCAAATTTATAATGAAAGGCAAGCAAAGTGGGACTTCATGGCCTTGGCTGGACACCAAGTGATAGCTAATTTTTGCAGCAGGGAAGACGAAATAACAAGTCCCTGGATTGCAATTTTGGTTTCTCCTTCTGTTCTCAAACAAAATTGTTTAAATAATAAACTCTTGTCTTCATCATAATTATTAGTTAATGAATGCATGTCTGTATTTCAAAAGTATATTTTTATTTTTTAGATCTTAAATGTCATCCTAGGATTGGCAAATACCTTTGGGCTGCTGACCTTTGATTAAGTCAGAAGATGCTGGTGAAATGAATTAATAGTTCATTTAGCCAAATGAACTATTGGACAAACAAAAGTCTAGTTGACCAACTGTTACTCTTTAAGGCTCATGTTAGCGACCATCTGATTTTTAGCCAGTATAGAGAAGTGATGAGGATGTCCATTTGGTAGAACGAATGAGTTACATTTAAAACTCTATATTTTATATTTACTTGATTAACTTGATTTGCTTGATTATAGACTCTGAAATAAGGAATGTCATTGTAACATAACTCTAGCAACCATTTTGGAATCTCGTTTGCTGCCAAGAACAAATGAGGATCTTAATTTATTCAATTTCTTATGTCAGAATATAAATTTTACACAATCCAAAAAACCTCTTCCCATGTCTCCAAATGAGGATCTTAATTTATTCAATTTCTATGTCAGAATATAAACTCCACACAGCCCAAGAAACCTTTCCCATGTCTCCCTCCCTTCCCTGTCGTGCTTGTTCTTGTCTTCTCAGATCCCTCCTAGTACGGAGACTGTACCTTGCACACATACACACTCACACATGCACACACACTCCTATCTCCATTCTTTGAGGACTCTGATCTGCTTCAACCTTCAAAGGTGCTAATGGGTTAATTTATTTATCATTCGCCCAAGTCACATACCATATTTCCTCAAATCTAAAATGACATTGATTGCAAGATGCTACATTCATTTATGTACCATTAAAAAAAAAAAGAATCCAGAGATTTGTTAGGCCCTGATGTTTAGAAATGATACAGTGTGAGCCTCCCAATCAATGAAATGTATTTAAATTTTGAAGGGAGGATTTGGAGGCAATACCTTAGTGACTCCAATGGTAGAGTGTCAGGCATCTTGGCGGACTGCTGGGGGAGGGCTTTGGAGTCAGATGATGACTGTGTGACAACTACACATCATGTAGTAAGCTGCTTATTTCACATCTCCAGTGGGACTGGCTCTAGGTGTGAAGATCCAGTGTATAACAAAGTGAAACATCCACAAGAAACATATAAGAAGAGGTGTAGATCTGTCTATAGGAAATTCACAGATGTACTGTGATGCTGCAGAAATCTCATTGACCAGAGAAGCCTGTCACACAAGTGTTCTGAGAACAGTCTATAGTCAATCTCTTTGCCTAGGCACTGGGCTGAGGTAGAGACTTGAGTTCTAATTTTTGTTTTGCTGTTAACTAGTCCAGGGGCCAAGTGTCCTAGGTGGATGGTTTTTGCCCTTCGTCCTCAGGTCCTTATGGGAGGCGAAAGTTAGAGTTCCTCAGGGGAGGCAAAAGACCATGGGCCTTGGGCTTCAATCAGGATAGCTCCACTTTTATGTCTTAGATACTGTATGTCTGTGATTCCCTATTTTTAAAAAATGTTCCTCTGCAAAATGAAAGCTTGAAAGTCATTGATAAAGATGAACTTTATCCTTTTTTCTACTGCTAAAATTCTCAGATTTATTATTTCACTTTAAAGAGGTAGATTATAGAGAAATATTAGATGCTTTCTTCTTTCATGGTAGCATCAAGACAGGAGGGCCAAGGGTTATTCATGTGAGAGGTTGTTCTGTTCCAACTGCTTCCTCCTCACTACTCCTGCTGCGGCCTCACCTATAAGTGAGCCCTTGGGAAGGAAGCAGATTTGCCCAGTGTCTTAGTCTCCTATTGCTGCTGTAACAAGTTACTACAAATTAAATGTCTCAAAACAACATAAACGTATTATTTTACAGTTTTTCAGGCTAGAACTCTGACATGGGCTAGAATAAAGGTGTTGGCAGGGCTGCACTTCTTTCTGGAGGCTCTAGGGAAGAATCCATTTCCTTGCCTTTCACACTTTCTGGAGGCCACATTTATTCCTTGGTTTATGACCCCTTCTTCCATCTGGCGAGTGAGTACTTTTCACATCTCCCTGATTCTCTTCCATAGTCACATCTCACTCTGATTCTCTTCTGCCTCCCTATTCCACGTCTAAGGATCCTTGTGATTACATTGAGCCTGTTAAATTCAGTATAATCTTCCTATTTTAAGATCACTTGATTATCAGCCTTAATTCTATCTGCAATCCTAATTTCCCTATGCCATGTAATTAACATATACAGAGGTTCTGGGGATTAGGATGCAGTCCTCTTTGGGGGCCATTATTCTGTCTTCCACACCTAGAAATAGGAGTTGTAGTGTGACAGGGCTCGTGAGAATCAGAAAAAAAGAAGTGACACAAAACAAGCTGCAAAGCTGTAAGCTAGCCTATTTTGAGTTGTGACCTTATCCCCATGTTATTGCTAGATAATGTTTATCAAACAAGGGACTCAGGGAGTAGCACATAAATATTTCATGTGGGATTGGTGTCACAGGCTGAGTTTCCCAGAAGCCAACACAGAGATGGAAACTTCCGTGAAGGACATTTATTAGGAGTGGTCTTGGGATTAACACCTTTGAAACAGAAGGAAAATGAGAAACAATTTGTGCAGAGAGAGAAGTTGGACTGCAAAGCAGTCTCAGCAAAGGTATCTGCTGACCCCACAGGGAACTTTGAAGGTGGGGTGAGGGTGCTAGACCAGTAAAGCTCACTGGATGTGGGCTGCTCCAGGAAGGGGAACGGGGTGTGACCTTGAGTGAGGCATCTCTCTTCAGCTAAGGCACTTCCTGGAGAAGTCTGTCTGCCAGCAAATCCCCAGCAGCTTGAGGGAATAAGTTCACCAATCCTAAAGAGAAATCTGAGTGGTACATCCCAATGCCCACTACAAAAGGACTCTAGTGTAGGGAGCTGGTCAATGAACTGGGGGGAACTCTCCAAGGCTTAGGTCCTAGAGCAGAGAAAGTGTGGGTAGGAAATGTAGGGATTTTCCCAGACAGGCAAAGAGTTGATTCAGAAAGGATATTTTTTCATCTTCTACCTATACCCCAGTCTCTGCAGAACTCTGAGGCTCCCTAACCATAGGGAGACAGTCTGCCTGCCGGTCACCTCCTACTCATCACTGGAATCACAGACAGAACAAGTGGTGGCAACACTGGCCTGAAGATTCCTGGCAGTAAGTAGATTTACACAGAGTAAACAAGAAGCCGGACTGAGTTTGGTATAATCTCTCACCCCAGAAACCCACATGCTGACAGCAGAGTCAATTCCACAGTGTTTATGTGCCTTGGTGGCTGCTGCTCATGGTGGCTATTTCCCATGATCACATCTCATTATTCTTTATTACCTTGTCATCTAGAGGAGGAAGGATATCATAATCAATATTCTGTGAATTCATAAATTATTTCACTTCTTCCAGATGAACTCTGTACCCTGGGTTCGAGTAGGTACAGGGACGCATTATGACCCTGGCGTCCCTCAGAACTCTACACAGGGCTGGGAGTCTAGGTTAGCCTTAAGTGAAAGCAGAATAAGTGTCTTCCCGATTCAGGGTCACCAGAAAAATCCTAACCCGTGAGAACCTTCCTACCCTGTTTTCTGATGTCTGAAGGCCCACCATTAGGGCACAAAATTTTCAACTTCAAGCTCTGATCTCAATTAAATGTAGACACTCTCAGAAAGGGTCACTATCTCTCAATGAAAGCACATTTTAGATGTTTTCCTGGGGGAAAAAATGGGATATAAGTAGCAATGCTCCAAGTACCAAAACCTCCCTAAGTCACCCGTGAAAAGCCATTTGGCAATAATACCGAAAGTTTTTAAATGTTCATACTCTGACCTAGCACTTTCACTCCTGTGAATGTAAGCTAAGGAAACTGATCTCAATACTGAAAGGACTTTATACACAAGAATGGGCCAGGCGCCGTGGCTCACGCCTGTAATCCCAGCACTTTGGGAGGCCGAGGCGGTGTTGAGGGGGAAGCACCTGAGGTCAGAAGTTCGAGACCAGCCTGGCCAACATGGTGAAACCCCGTCTCTACTAAAAGTACAAAAATTAGGTGGGCGTGGTGGCAGATGCCTGTAATCTCAGCTACTCGGGAGGCTGAGGCAGGAGAATCTCTTGAACCTGGGAGGCGGAGATTGCAGTGAGCTGAGCGAGACTCTACCTCAAAAAAAAAAAAAAAAAAAAAAGAATGAATAATTTATAATGGTGAAGCTTTGGAAGCCACTTCAATGTTAAACATTTGCGAGATGCTGAGAGAAGTGACAGCGTTATCAACCCAATTTTTTAAAGTCCTGCCATTAAAAATTATAGGTAGGAAGCGTTTGTAATAACACAGTGAAAATGTTCATGTTACAAAGTGGAAAACAACCCTGGATTCAGGTTATTATGTGCGTTTTACCACAGCTGTGTAGAAACAAATCCATACACATGGAAATCGAATGAAGTGAAACGCATGCAAATGGTAATGATACTGTGCTTGGGGCAGAATTGGAAGCAGTGTTAAAGTCATTTATCATCATTCGTGTTTTTAAAATGCCGTGTGATGGCTGCAATACTTCTGTAACGAATGATGTTTAAGCACGGAGCCCTTTACTGGCCGACGCGCGGGTGGGAGATAGCAGCCGCGCCCACGCTCAGGTGGCGGCTGCAGGCAGGGCCGGCTGGGGCCGCAGCGGGGTCCGCTCCCGACTGAGGACCCTCTGCTCTTCTTGCAGACGTAGGTCTGGCCGGGCTTGGAAGCGTCACCCAGCCTCAGGCCGAGGACCCGCCGCCAAGCGCCGCCTCCGCGGGATGGTCCTCGGCAGCCGCCGTAGCGCAGAGACGAATCCGCGCGCCCCCAGGCTGCCGCGCGAGCTACCAGGAGGCTTCCACCTGAGCGGCGGGTCCTCAGTGCTTGGGCCTGGCCTCCTCGCTTGTGAGATGGCACTGTGGCAGTGCCCACCTCGTGGGCTGTGTGAGGGCCGAGTGAAATCGTGCATATGCGGTAAGAAAGTGCTTTTCACGGTGCCCTGTCCTAATATGGGCTGCCAGCCTAAGTACAGAGGCACAGTCCCAGCCCAAAGGCCAGTTTCCAGCTGAGCCCCTGTCGGGGAGACCACCAGACGGAACAGCCCCAGTCTACACTCCTGCACCGAGCAGGGGACAGTGTGGACGGCAGAGAGGTCTGAAGTCCCTTGGGAATAAGGATAATGCTTCAGGGTTGTTAAAAGGATTAAATGAGATGATATCTAAAGGGATTAGCACAGTGGCTGATGCTAAAATAAATCATTTTCTCTACTGCCACTGCCCTTAAAACCAGACGCCTGCAACAGCCGGCCAGTACGTCTCCTCATTTGTAAACTGAAGTTAGCAGGTGTGTTGTGAAGATTGAGAAAATTACGCATAGGCAGAACCTGGCGTTTAATATTTGGGAAATGGCAGCAATTCTTTCTTCACTAAATAATCTACAGGCTGCACTGTGGTAGGCACATATGCTTAGCACCGATTCTTATAAGTGCAGGTAAAGAGAGAGAGAAGACGTATTGTGTAAGTCGAAGGAGCCAGCCGTGTCCAGGCCGCAGCAAAACCTCAACAGTACTGTACCAGGGCCCTCTTCAGTGAATGAATCTCCTCTTTGGCCTGTTTGCTGTCTGTTTGCATTTGCTGCACCCATCAGTTCCCAGACCTGGCCTCTAAAGCCAGGAGCTCTAGGATGCTTGTCCCAATCCTAGAAAACAAGTACAGTACACACCAACAGCAGCACCCCTAAAAGCCAGCCCTACTGGCAGTGCAGGCCCTGCAACCCGTAGGTAAGTGGGACACTCTAAGCTTCTTGGAGACAGCTAACTCAGGGCCTGATTAGCTTACTTCCACCTCCTCTCTTCAGGAAATCAGACTGTGTAAAGTAAGAGAGAAAAGAAAATTAGCATAAGTCTATTCCATTGTCTAATGAAATGTGTTTCACTTGTGTTAAAAGTGAATTGTGGGCTGGCGTGGTGGCTCATTTGCCTGTAATCCCAACACTTTAGGAAGCCACGGCAGGCAGATTGCTTGAGCTCAGAAGTTTGAAACCAGCCTGGCAACATGGAAAAACCCCATCTCTACAAAAAATACAAAAATTAGCAGGTTATGGTAGCTCATGCCTGTAGTCCCAGTTACTCTGGAGGCTGAGGTGGGAGGATGGCTTGAACCTGTCAGGTCGAGGCTGCTGTGAGCTGTAATCACACCAGTGCACTCCAGCCTGGGTGACAGAGTCAGTTCTTGTCTAAAAAAAAAAAAAAAAAAAAAAAAAAAAAAAGA